TAATTTTTACTAGTTATTACATTATTTGGTAACTTTCAATTAGATGGTGTTATTTTTCCAAATTTATCATTAGATTAAAAATTCTTTTAACTTAAATCATAATACACAATTTTATATTAATATAAAATTATATATATATAAAAAATATTTACTTACTTTAAGAATAATTTTTGGTATTTCACTCAATAAATTATGATTTATATTGTACTTTAATAATTCAGCTATTAAATTAAAAATATTTAATAAATATAAATTTTTATAAAATTTAAAAATTATTTAGTATATACTTGTTACATTGATTGAAATTAATATATATTTAGAAAATTATATTATACGATTGTTTGAATCAATAGGAAATGATTAGATAGTTTGAATCTTCCTTTTTATATTATCCTACGACTTGTCTAACGATCAATGGGTTTAGGAATGATTAGAAATTAGAGATTACAATAGGCATTGACGAATGGGAGAGAGATGAATGGAGTTGAAAGGTGCTGCTGATTTATTTGATGTGTTGTTAATTTTTTTACGTGCAAACACATAACTCTGTATGGATTGGTGTCTTAACCACAGAGTCATATACCCTAAAACTTGTAGGGCTGCTGTAAATTCTTTAGGGGTAAGATGTTATGCAGTGTATTCGACCTATTTTATGTTCTAAATATTTACTGTTTATTTGACTTTGGTTCAGTCTTTGAGTTTGATAAGAATAGATAAAATGCAGTTTGTTTACAGTTCATAGCCTAGTGCAATGGGTCAGAGAGTCTTAGGCTTTAGCATTGAGACCAACTTCATCAAAATTATTATTATTAATAATATTATTACTATTATATTATACAAGTATAACAGTAATAGTAGTAGTTGTTGTAGAAGTAATATTATCACAACTTATATCCATGGATATAATTTGTTAAGTTCTTTTAATCATGAATGTGTTTCACAGTGTATTAATTTGAGAATCGAAGCTTATAACTTTATGATTAACTTATAAATTAGTTTTTTTTTGAAAAACTTATAAATTAGTTTGAGTAAAATAAATTTATTTGATAGGAGAGATCATTTAAAAAATTTAACTTAATATTATTTTTATAAATTAATTGGAATAATTTATAAATTTATTTTCTTTTTATTTTTTTATCTTCATTAATTTATTCTAGATTCTTCTCATTTTTTGAATTTAAAAAGTACAACGACATTTATTCAAATATTTAATAGTGGGAAAAATCAATATTACAACGCATAACTTGTACTTTTGTGCATAATTAAATTATAAAAAAAATCATTATAATTGAATAATTATCAACTTGGATTAGTGTGAGTAATGAAAGACCGATATCATTTAATTAAGTGATCATGAATTAAATTTTAGTTCTTGCGAATACTATAAAAAAATAAGTTGAGAGAAGATGTTTATCTATTTAATGTTTATCAAATTTTAGAGAAGATTATTTTTATATTCAATAAAAAATACTCTTTGGTGATGAGAAGAAAAAAAAGTCATCATAATTGTAAAAGAAAATGGTGTGTCAGCATTGGTTATCTTTTATATAAAAAAATAAAATTGATCATCTTTAGTGTTGGATAATTTTATTTTTACAACAATTCCTACTATTTAAGAGAGAAAAAAAAGTAATGTCAAATAAAATGAGTGATGTAACGGAGGAAAATGATAAAAAAAAATTGGTAAAATTTATTACAAGTATTTTTATTTATTTTAGCAACAAAATAATTAAGATCACATTAAATGTCATTTTAACAAAATCACATATATTTCCATAAATAAAACGTACTTATATATATATATATATA